CGCTCCACACTGAAACAATGCCTAAACCCTAAATTTCGTTTTTGGATCAATATGGGCCTGACCCGTTTTCTGGTTCACCTCTAAAGCCCAATAAGAAAATCATCTCATTAAACATTAACCCTTTCTTTTCTTTTATTTTATGTTTACTTCTTTTTCTAAACACTAACCATTATTTTATTTTATAAAAAACAATATTTACTTCTTTATTTATTTCTTGTAAAATACTAACCTTTTCTTATTTTATTTTATAAAAACAATATTTACTTCTTTATTTATTTCTTGTAAAATACTAACTTGAATAAAATACATTTTCATCATATGTTTAAAACATCTTTTTTAATTAATACACTTTTGTACATAACGATAACAAAATACTTTTTATACCAATTAAATTGAAAATACTTTTTTTGATTTAAATACATATTATACATTTTTATACATAATTAAAATTGAAACTTTTTTTAATTAACATTCTTTTTTCATACATAACAATTTAAATACATTTTTTCTCTAAATATCAAATTCACAAACATTTGGACTAAAATACTTTCCAATTAAAACTTAACATTTAATCAAAACACTTCTTTTCTTTTTGTACATAATTAAACATATAAATCAAAAATACAGATTAAAACATATATCTAAGTCAAACCCTAATACGACTCAATTTCACATTTCGCATTTGTACATACTTACACTTACACATACATATACACTTGTACACTTACACAACACATTACCCTACACACATTTTATCTTATATTTGTATATTTGATATTCATTTTGATCGCACATTCGATTTGGTTGTAAATTATTGGGTACTATAAGTCTCATCCCCTTGTACATTTATACCCCCACTCCCTGATACTATTTTGTAATAGCGTAGATTTACATTCTGCAATTTACAGTTTTCCAATTATACCATGGTTAGACCTAGGGTTTGTATGTACATAAAATCAAACGCTAGATAACCTAATACAAGACAAATACATGTAATCAATACACAATCACACTTGCACCCCCTAGGGTAATCCCACATGTTGCCTTCCAAAATGGGCCATGCTTGCACGTCGAGTATCTTTGGCAAAACAAAATCAAATGATCATAAGTCTCAAAGTGTTGCCTAAACGGAATGATCATAGTCCCTTCAAAACGAATTGCCAAAGACACTTGGCATCATTGCATTCATGGTCCATACGATGACCCGCGCCCGTCCCGAATAAACTTCCTAAACGCAAGATTGTCCATCAATTTCAATGATGGAACAAAATTGTTAAAAGGGGTTAAAACATGACAAAAACCTTTGAGTACAATAGGGTAGACAAAACTCTTAGTTACTTGAGATCAAACTTGCAAAAAACATTTGCCTTCTTTTCAAAAACCACAATCCACAACACTTTCAAACAAACTCTCAAAAACATTTGAAAACATCTTTTCGAAAAGATTCACACTTTTGTAAAACACTCAAACACGAGTCAAATACATTAGTTGCCTAAGACAAGGCATCTTTTTCCAAAACATTTTCAAAAAGCACCCACACACACACCATTTTTCAAAGCAATCGAAAAACAAGGCAAGTGATCTAAAAAACCAAGTAACTAAGAGCCCATGGATAACCATGGATGAAAAGGGTGTTAATACCTTCCCTTTTCATAATCTACCCCCCGAACCCACGAAATATCTCAAAAGGTTTTTGCTGTGCTTTTTTAACCTTTCCTTTAGGATAAAATAAAAAGTCGGTGGCGACTCTTGCTAACCGCACAAGTGCGAATACGAACGCAAAACCTCAAGTCAGTTCTCCCACCGTATCACACCTATGATGAAGAAATTCTGAGGCTTAGAGGTTGGATAGTTTTAGGGATGGTTGAGGTTTGGTATATTTTCTGTTGAACTGTGTGTTTGATGGTTTATATTTGCTTCAGCTTGGATGACAGGCAGGTTGTTGGTAGTTCTGTGTATGTGTTTGGATGATGCAGGCAGGTTAAGGCATTAGCAGGTTTTGCAGATTGTATATCTTTCTCTTCTATCCTTGAACTGCTTTGTATTGGCCTGTGGATTTTTGTATTGAGGCAGAGTTGTATGATTTTGTAAGGATGATGCAGGTTTTTTGCTTTGACAGAAAAATGAGGTTTCAGGCCTTCTGACTTTTTTTAATGCAGTAGGCTTGAAGTTCTGGTTTTATGAGATTTGGCCTATGCTTGGTTTTTGCTGGTGCAGTAGGTTTTGGGTAGTTTTTGAAACTTGTTTGATGGCCTAGCAGGTTATCAGTTTGAAGCTTGAGGTTGTGTTTTCAGGTTATGGTAGTGCTGGTATGAGATTTTAGATGTGTTTGATGGCTTTTAGGGTGAAGCTTCAACAGGGTGATGCTTGGACTTAACAAGGTTCTGTTGTGGCCTATGCTGGTTTAGTTTGACAGGTTTTGGGTTTTGTGAGGTCTCCAGGCCATTGCAGGTTTTGTTCCCATAGGTTTTTATGGTTTGGCTTTGTTTTATCAGTTTTCAGGTATGGTGAGTTTGGAGGTTTTTGTAGTTTTGTTTATCTGTTTGTATGTTCAGTTTATGTGTTTGTATGTTTGAAAGGTTTGGTTTTTTGTGAGGTTATGACAGTAAGTTTGGCATTTTTGAATCCCCTCTTTCAAGCTATGCTGTGGTTAGACTTTGTATATTTTTCTTCCTCTCCTGCCTAAGGCCTGAACCCTGGAAACCTGCTTCCATTTCTCTCTTTTTCTCTCTCCATAGTACAGCTTTAGAATTTAATATGATTTTATGCCGTACTTTGTTCTGAAGGGGCCCTGGGAAATGATGATTTTAGTTGCTTGCATATAGGATTTTTCTGCATCTTTATCCTTCCTTTTGACAGCTTTGTGTGCTTTTGTATTTTGTGATATCTTCCATATCTCTCTTTGACAGCTTGGATAGATTTTGTATTTTGACAGTAAATTGCCTTTTTGCTTTTGGTAGAAAGTGGAATTGGATTTGAACTATGCAGTTTTGAACTTTGGAATTATGCATTTTGACATTCATGAATAAAAAAAATGGAATTCTTCCCTCTTTGTGAACCGGGAGAAATCCCGTGATTTGCAGAGAGGGTCAACTGATCCCAGTCAGTGGCCCCTAATGATGAGCAAATTTTAACTGTCTTTTTTAATTCAACTGCCTTCTGACTTTTCTTCTTCTTTTTGCAGATAAAAAATGGAGCACCGGAGCGGAGTGAAGAATGAAGAATATTAGAAATAGGATAGTTTTTTATTTTATTTAATATTTAAATCAATGTATATTATTGTTTGTAATTTAAATTATAAACAACAATTTGTACAAATAATTCAAATATCAATAAAATCTAAATTATCCAATTAATTCTAATTTTCTTTATTGTTTATTTATTTATTTAAAACTCTTTGAATTAAAACAATTGAAAAATAAATTTCAATCATTCAATTTTAGAATAATAAATAACTTAAATAAAAACAATATTGATCAATTAAACCTGTCTCTTCCAATATCCAAAACAAAGCAGCAGTCAACCAAAATAAACTGATCAAGCGCATTCCTTCTTCACTGATTTGCCATAAACACTGTGAATCCAATACCGCGTACTGTATTTGACCGGCTCAAAGAAAACAACATGAATTCAAACCACTGTCTCTTTCACTGATTAAATCAAAACAACGCGAATTTTAACCCAAATCTCGGAATAAACTGCAAAGTGCTGTGGAATTTAAATCCTCCTGAGAACATGCCCATAAAACCCTTAATTCCTGATTAAATGCCAAATAGCGTTCGCCTGATCAAAATTGAACCAAAAATCATCCAAACCCTAAGCCCACTGTATGAAACAATCCAGAGCTCTGAAAATCAGTAAAAACCCTAATTTTGCTTGACTGTCAAGAAAAGTCCGTTTGTCCGATTCTTGAGCCAATTTAAAGAATCAGGAAATGTCTAAAGCTGAGATTGCTTGTGAAAAAAACGCGAGGGCAAATTTTGGGGTACAACAGAATCAAATATTGTTAAAAACATTCTTCTATAGAACCAGAAAATGATCGCATATTAACGTTGGTTTTATCATCTTATACATCTTAGATAATTATTGCCTTGCTTATGGACACAGAGAATTAAAATATGGGAATAAAGAAGAATTGGAAAATAATACGTAACCTTTTGAAAATAATGGAGAATGAAGAAGATTGAGGAGTGAAAGAGTAAGAGTTTAGAATGGCTATATATGGGGTTTAGAATGCATGGGAAGTTGTGATATCTTGGAATATCAAAATAATCCATTCTAATTCCAATAATATACATTTAATCTCGTAGTGTAATGATAAATAATGGGTATTTTTAAATCATGCAATCAATAATATTCCATTTAATTATAATAGATCTAATTTGGCCATTCCAATTCCTTCCTCATTAACCGTGAGTCAAACATTAGAATTCAAATTCTGTCAAAAAAAAACATTGGAATTCAAATATAAATAAATTAACCGTGAATGAAACATTGGAATTGGAATTCAAATATAAATAAAATTCAAATATAAATAAAATAAATTAATAAATCAAATAAATAAAAAATAGTGTAAAATTATGATAGATTGACATGTCAGCAAAATTAAATGCCAAATGAATATGGTAACAGCATAGTGTTGATTAGTCTATTATACCCTTGGAATAAGAAAAGTTATAACATCTAATCAAAAGGTTAGACTTGGAATTTCCAGGTACTTTACTTTTAATAGATTGATAATAGATTTTGTTAGGGTTCTAGCATTTGCTTCCTAATAATTGGTGTTCTCATTTCGATCTCATTTTCGCTAAATGGAGTTTGTGATGCCGTTTATAAATTTTTATGGAGTAAAAGAAGCATATTGGTGGATCCTTTCCACTTAAAAATATTTCAGAGTCAAAAATATCATAGAAGATGAGGAGAAGATGAAGGTAGTTGAAATCACAATGAGAGGTTGTGCTCTCAAATGGTGGAAATGACGCTCTCAATCTCATCCATTGATGACCTGGAATACATTTGCAAATGTATTTCTTTGGTATTTTAAACCTGAATGGAGACACTTTTTTCAAGATTTAGATGAAGAAATGAAACCAACTTATGAATTAGTGAATCCCATAGATCCAATCCCTAAAACTGTTCTGAAGGTCGTAGAAGAAACATCATCATCGGATTTGTGCATAAAAGCTTTTAAAGGTGACACCTTGGATCAAACTTTAGCTGCAAAAGAAACGAAAAAAATGGAAGAAACTTATGAGTTGTTAAATTTTGAAGATAAACCTCTCATACTTGATGATCGTGTTTCTCCCACTAATAACATTGAAATTCATTTCTACCTTTCACCCATTTTAAATCAGAAGAACACTCAACTTCCTTCTCAAAAGATATCTTCAAATCTTGTCCACGTCTCAACTTATGCATCTCTCACAACTTCCATGATTGATCCTCATGTCAAGGATTGGGGTTTTAAGGAAAATCTACCAAAACCCCCAGATCCCAATTCAAAAAATAAAATCTCTCGTTCTGACAAGTTAGGTCGAATCATCGATTGGACTCACAACTTCAATAACCAGACACCCGCTGTGAAGCAACCACAAATTCAGTTTCCTTTTCCCGTATCACCTTCGACCACGACTAAAATCAATGAAATGATTCCTCCCATCAAGCCTCATAATTATTTTTACAACAATGTTGATTTCATGATTCCTCCAAAGCCACCGGATCCTATTTTCGACATCAACAATTCCATTATTTCTCCACAACCTCCTTCCAAGGATAGTGCAGACCAAGTGTTTGTAACAATGCATACAATACCACAAACCTTCATCTTGAGTCCAACTCCACAGATTATTAGATACAGGCTGAGAGTAGACAATTTTGTTTCGTGTAGCTTAAATTCTAGACATTTTGGTCTTTCATTGAAGCATAGACATGGTGCAATGAGGATTTTGAAAAGGGAACAAATTAATTTTCATTCTACTGCAGTCGTGTTATCAGAAGCCAAAATCTCCTCTATTGGTTTTGAGGACTTCTCTGTCTCTACTGTCGACACCGCTGGAGAACTAAAGATAACCATCGAGGTATCTAGAAACAAAGCACAGAGGATCTATGATGATGTTTCTGCTCACTACTGTTGGGAACATGTGAAAGACATGACAAATTCAAGAATTGCAAAACAAATTGATGAAAAACACCATGACTTTGATCTTGCAGTTGAATTTATATGGGTTGTTGCATGGCTACACCAAGCAACTAGCAATGAATACTACCTAAAGTATGTCGTGGATAATCTGGTGTTTATGGGTGGAACGGGCTGGGTGGTGAAAGAGTGCTCTTGGGATAGCAAATATGCTAGAGTCCAAACCCTGCTATCCAAGGTTGCTGAAAGAAGGATTCTTGAGCTGGAAGCTTCACGTGACCTTTCAAGGATCTGGTTACATGTAGATATGGATGCTTTCTATGCAGCAGTTGCGACTTTAAGTAACCTCGTGTTACAGGGCAAGCTAATGGTTGTTGTAGCATGTCTATGTTATCCATTAGGGATGTTCGCGGTGCGGTTTGGGCGGTTTTAAAGCAAAAAATCACACGGACCGCAAGAGAAAAAAGTATGCGGTTCGGTTTAGTTCAGTTAACTTTTAAAAATAAATCCGAACCAAATCAAACCAAACTAATGCGGTTTGGATTGGTTCGGTTGGTTCGGTTTTATAAAAAAAAAATTATTAAGTCATGCATACACATATAGAGAAAAATATAATTTTGTGTTTAATGGTTCATACATTATCAAAACAAAATTTATAATTGTCAAAATAAGTTTATAATTTGATACATAAAATTGCGTATTATAATTTTATCTAAATCTAAAGAATGATATAGACAAGATTGCATTCTTAAATAAATATTATGCAAAGAATACGATAAAATATATTTTGTGAAAATAGTATTTATAAATGAATAGTATTTTATTTTTTATGATTTGTAAATTAAAATAAATATCATACAAAGTATGATAAAATATACACATAATACATGTTGATTTCTCTAAAGAATTAAATAAATATATATTGGTTAGTAAGATTTTATAACATAATACAGTTTTGTTTGGTTTTGTTTGGTTTACAAAATAGAAACCGCAAACCAAACCAAACCGCGCGGTTCTGTGAGAAAAGGATCCAAACACATCCGAACCAAATATGGTTTTTTGCGGTATCGGTTTGGTTCACTTCGGTTTTGCAGTTTTCTATTAGACCGGTTTGATTTTGAACACCCTTATTATCCACTGCCAACTATGATGCCAGGAAATTTAGGGTTTGTTCTGCCATGCCTGGGTTCATTACACGGAAGCTATATCCAGAGTTAATCCTTGTCCCAGCAAAATTCAGAAAGTATACCCATTAAAGTGATTTGACGAGAAATTTTTTTCAGAGGGTTGATCTTGAATCTACTAAAGTATCAGAACTTCAATATTTTGTTGGGGTTGTGCAGAATGAGACTGAACTTGGGAGTAAGGATAAGACTGAGGCTGATGGAAGGCTTGATTTTAGTCAGATGGGTGACTCATCTGCCCTTATGCCTGTCAGCAAGTTGAAGTTGATGTGGCTGTTGGTGAACTTGCATATGATTCTGAGATTATGGGGCTGAAGGATTCTGCACATGTGAAACTGGTTGAGATAGTCCTTGAGCCTGAGGTTGTGCTTGAGGCTGCAACTGGGGCTGCTGTTGTGTCTGTGGCTGAGGTTGAGACTGAACATAGGCTTGTTGGTATTGTGGAACAACAGGTTGTTGATAAGGATAATAATGTTGATATTGTTGTTGGTATGGATCTTGTCCAGGTTATTGCTGGTAATATTGTCGATAATGTTGCTGCCAATACTGAGACACCATGTTCTGTTACAAGTTGCCTCTTCATTGATGGGCCACTGGCAGCAGTGGAAATTTCACATATTTTTTGTTTTTGTAGCAGAAGTGTTACTTTTGTTCCTTGTTTACTTAATGCTCATAAAGAAGTATACTTTATCAAAAGCATGGAAAGTAATATTGGGACAATTGATCATGTTACTTTTTCAATAATTATTTTACAACTTTGAGGAGAAAGTTGTTTTTGAAGGGGTCAGTAATGATAGAATCATGAAGTTAGTTTTAGATAATTTAATATTTAAGTTAGTAGAAAAACTTATCTTAGTTGGGTCTTTATCTTAGATATGGTTTAATTGGTCTTTTAATCATTGGGCCTTTATTTTACTACCCATTATTGTTATCACTATATATGTACCTCTTATTGAGAGTAAATATTATCAAATGAATGAAAATGCCTTTACTTTCTTAGTTTATCTTAGCATTTATAGTTTTATTATTTTTTTGTTTTGTTTTGTTAGGGTTCTAGCATTTGCTTCCTAACACATTGATACTAGTTTCTCGTTATCCCTCCAATTTTGAGATATCGCGGGTGTATACGAGTAATAAATTAAATTTTTTATCCCCTCTAAATAAAAGTAATAGTTTTAAATTTAATCCATGATAATAATAATAACAAAAATAAATCTCTTTTTTTTTTATTTCTTTTTTTTTTCAAATAATTATATTACATTCAACAATATAATAATAGTTTCATATTCAACAAAATAATAATAATAATAACAATAATAATAATAATTTTAAATTAAAAAATTAATATTTAAGTGATTTTGCTAATTATTAATAGATATGGATACCCGCGGGTACCATCATATCCGTATTCGTACCCGTAAGTAAACGAATAACTAAATATCCGTTTATTTTAAATGTGGATATCCATTAAACCATCATTTATGTATCCATGACGGATTTTACTCACGGGTACTCACGAGTACGAATTTTTTTGCCATTCCTAGTCTGAAATATGTTGTATAAACATACCCATTAAATATATTTTAATCTTAACTTGTATTAATTAATTTTCAAAATATTTTAAAATAAATTTAATTAAAATTATTAATTATTAATTTATTTTATAAAAAAATATTAATTAATAAATTATCCTAATTATCATTTCATATTATTAAAATTAAATTTTGTATAATAAAATAAATCCCAAAAAAAGTAAAGTTGATGACAAAAAAGCAAATTCTAACAAAAATAAAGTTAAAGACCAAAAAAAACTAATAGAAGAGGAATAGAGAAAATATATTAAATAAAAAAATAAAAAAATATTTTCGTATTTTAATCTTGTAGTAAAAAAAATCATCTCATGAGAGTTGTCTAATGCATAATCATGATTTTTTTTCTAAATCTATATAATATAATAATATAAGATGAGTATTTGAGCAACTTTAACACATGAAAATCTCTCGACCCTTCTTCTATTTATATTTTAACTATAAAAGAAAAATTTCTTTAAATATATTTGTATTCATTTTTTATTTAATTTAAATTAATCTAATTAATGGACCTTGAAAACAAACAAAACAATGTTGATTCCCATTCTTTTTTTGTTTCTCGATACATAAGCTAAACATCTGGGGAAGACCAAACAAACAATGTTGTTTTATTTATTTCCAAGAAATTCAGTTTTTCTTATTCCTCATCTCAATGCAAACCCTTCGATTCTCATCATCTCTCTTATCTTTCTTCAAACAACTAAAAACCCTAATTCTTCATCTCTTCCCTATTCTTCGAGATAACAACGATCAGAAAGAAACTGATGTTCTGATTGTTGATTTTCAATTTTTTTTGTTATTGAATGATTGAATTGTTTTTAGATCTGATCGAATTTGTTTGTGGATTGTTAGAGCTGAAGATCCTCCCACTGGCGATGATTGACTTTGGTACTCTCCTCCTTCTTGTCCAGATAGAGCCGAAGAAGTGAGATTCTCCAAGGATAAGACGTTGTCGCGATTTACCTCGGAGATTGATGGTGAAGTTTGTTGGTGTAAGCCCTAGAGGCCAATACTTTTGGTACTTGTATCGAATTATTTATTATTAATAAAAGGCATTTCCTTATTATGTTTGCTTTCCAAAATAATAAAGTCCCTAGAATGGTTTATTTGTTTAATGAAATGTTAAGTGTGACTTAATCATGAGATCCCATTAAACATAAGACACTATTCTTAAAGTATCAGTAGTCAAGCTTTAATGTGAAGTGGGATAACATTAAAGCATTAAGATTATTATGAAGATAGATTGATGATCACATCTCATGGATCATAGATAAGGAGTTATCAAGTCTTGACATAGGTATGAATATTAGGAGTAATATTTATACTGGATTGACCCGCTATGAGAATACTACATAGAATGTTATGCAAAGTGTCATAAGTTATTCTCATGATGATAATGGTGTATACCACCCTTCGACCTGAAACCACTATGGACCCTAGATGTAGAGTCAAGTACTTTATTGCTGATCAAACGTCATCCGTAACTGGATGACTATAAAGACGGTTGATGGGTACTTCACAAAGCATGCTAAGGGACATGAGTGACCTAGATGGAATTTGCTCATCCTGCATAACAGGATAAATGTCTAAGGGCCCAATATTGAACTGGACAAGGGTGACACAGTGTATGCCTTGTGTTCAATATAGACATGAGGGCAAAAGGGTAATTGTACAACACAAATATTATCACGGAAAAGGTTTGGTCAGATCACATGACATTTTCGTGACTTGGGTAACAGTGATGTGTTGCTAGATACCGCTCACTGTTTATTATATTAAATATGTGATTTAATATAATTGCCAACATCGTGAAAACCTACAGGGTCACACACATAAGGACAGGTTGATGAGAGATAGAATAAATAAGGAACACCGTAAGATACAGTGCACTTAAGTGTAATACGGAAAGAGGTAAGGTATCACGTGGATAAGTGATATATGGTACATCATAAGGTATGATGTCCATAAGCTTAATTGGGCTTTTAGCTTGTAGCCCACATGAGTGATTCTATAAATAGATCCCTTGTGATGAAGCAATTTCACTTGATGCAATTTAGTTTTTGATTCTCTCTCTCACTCAAGGTTTCCGTTCGTGATCAGCTAGCACTGTGACCGGAAGCGATCTGTTCGTGTGGACTGAGTAGAGGCGTTGTTCTTCATCAACGCTCGTGATCACAACATCAAAGGTCTGAATCGCCACAAGAGGTAAATATTTCTATCACTACCATGTTCATTCGTAAGGATCACTAAAGGAAAATTTTAAATTCCGCTGCGCTTTTGATCGCAATTTTCCTTCAGTGGTATCAGAGCCACTTACGAAACCATGGATCTGATAGTTGTTTATGTTCTATATTTTCTGTTTTGATTCGATTAAAACCAGAATGAATTGAATAATAAACGAGTAATTAAATTTGGCATCTGTTGTGTACGATTTGGATGATTGATGTTGACTATGCTTCAGAATCCGACATTAGTATGGTGAAGCAGCGATACATCGATCGTCCATAGGTTACACAAATAAGATCGATCACTTTTATATATGATATAAGTAAATCTGATGCAACGATGGTATATGGGATATATTGTTTCTGTTTCGTTCATTCAAACACTTGATGATTGTTATTCCTTTGACTGATCACTGTTCATATGCTTCGGAATCCGACATTAGTATGGTGAAGCAATGGCATGTGATTAATCATATTGAATTATCAATCGAAATGTGTTTGACAGCATGAAACTGTTGCATTAGGGTTCATGACGGCACAAGGGTTGTGTTGTTGCAGAGTTATGCGATTAGGGTTGTGAATGCACAAGAGTTGTGCGAAAATGACGTCGATTTCAAATGAATTGTTCATTAAAATTTTGCGTCGGGGCGCTGCCCCCTTGACCCCCGTCCGATGACCGGGCAGCAGAACCCCGGCTAACTCTGCGTAGTGTGATTAATCGTCGAAATTTAATTTTCCTTTTTTTAATTAACAAAATTTAAACTAATAATAAAAGTGTGTTTATTATTATTGTCTTGTGGTGATCAGTTATGGCCTTAGTTTTTTCCTTTATTTTGTTTTGGGATTGTAAAATACGGCATGCGTGTCGTGCCTCTCTCTAAAATTCTTGATGTAACCTCTTTTCTCATCTCACTCCCTCGTATGTAAAACGAGTTTCTTTTATGTAATGTAATGTTATGAAGAAAGAGAAGAATACAATATCAAAGGAGGATAACCTTGGAGATCTTGCTTGGAGAAGTTTAGATCGTTATTAGGTTAGCTTAGGTTCTCTCATTGGCTTGGGAGAACAATTGCGCTAGGGGCCATAACTGTATCCTTTTATGTATATTGATGCATGTGTTTGTATGTTGATGCATGAGAGAGACGAATTGCATGTTAAGCCGGTGAGATCAAACTAATAACAAAATCCCTCAAGTTAAATATTAAGTTCATGCTTTCCAAGTTTTAGCACTCATCAAGACTAGTATCGAACAATGTAGGTTTCGCCTACGCGAGGTGCATGTTCTATATTAGTAAGGTGTGATGGGATAATTGTAATATCCAACTGCTAAAACAATGGGTCAAACTTAACTAAACACATTATAATAAGATTATACATGTTTAGAAGCAAGAGTTGGGAATGATTCATATGATGAATTAGAATAAGGAGTTATTCACCCAACTGAAAATATTCGAGAGTTGTATGAGATACAATTGGAAGGAGTTCCTACCTAAATAACCTAGTTTTGTGTAATCAGCCTAACACTGACTTAGAACAAGGTGAAATATGGATCTCAACCCACTAGAAAGTCTTCCAACGGGATTTTCCGAATCAAATGATGAGGGTCATTTGGTTTGAGTAAAATAGTGGGAGCATATTTGATTAAAGGCCTAATTAAATATGTTGTTTTAATGATACTTATATTTTCATTTTTTTTGTAGATTACCATGACAACAAACAACCATATTTTGCGATCGATCCTAGATAAGGAAAAATTGTCTGGGACAAATTTCCTGGATTGGCACCGAAATCAGAGGATTGTCTTCAAGCACGATAAGAAGCTGTATGTCTTGGAGACACCTGTTCCCGAAGAGGAACCGCCTAGTTCGGCACCTAAGGTAGAAAGAGATGCTTATAAGAAGAATTTTGATGATGCTAACGAAGCCGCTTGTCTCATGCTAGCTACT